CCAACTTGTTCTTTAATTTTCAACAGGATGGACCTAGACGGGGCTGGTGAGGTGGTCGCCCCCCTCCTAAAAATTTAAAATTATCATCCGTCCATGCATGTATGATATCTTAATGTTATAATAAATTATTAAATAAAAACATATTTAAAAAATTAAGATAATGATATGACATGATTTTATAATATAAAATCATTAGAAGGGTTGAAAATATAAATAAACTCAGGAATTACATTAAAAAAATGATGAAAATTTAAAATTCAAATAAACAGAAAAACAATTAGAGGTCAAATGATAAGGAATAAACAAAAATTAATTAAAATAGAGATTAAATTGGAAAGAATTATGTAGTGCAGGGACTGAATGTTAAATAATCGCTAATATAAAAAAATTGCCAATATGATAGTATGTTCTTTCACTATCATATAACAGGTTTGCACATTGATCCGAAAGAAGCGTCAAGTGGGTATTAACGAACATGATTCCGAAATAGAATAAATAGATTAATTTAACAAACGGACCGTGCCAAGTATGCTGTAGATCACTGCGGAAGATTGCCTTCACCGTCGAAGGAGGATCGAAGAAAACACGAGTTCCCCAAGGTAACGTCCAAGCCAAACGAGCCATGCCATCCGCCAACTTGTTTCTTTCTTTAGGAGCAAACGCGAACGTTAAAATGGTAAATGGTAAATAGATTCAGGAGAATGATGTTGGTTCAAAAAAATTTCATTATTTTGTGGCTGATAAAAGGAAGAAAAATGCTATTAGTGCTCTTTTAGATGAGCAGGGTGTGAGGTATGACACGTTTGATGGGATCTCTAAGGTCGTGACTGATTTTTATACTAAGTTGATTGGTACTTCGGACCCTCAGGTGGAGGGTGTTAGTGTGGAATTACTTTAAAGACTTGCTTCAAGTTTCTCTGCATGAGAATGCTGCAGATTTGCTTTGTAAGGAGGTTTCAGCTAATGAAATTTGGGAAGCAGTTTCGTGTCAAGGGAATGATAAGGCAGCAGACCCTAATGGGTATACTGCATTCTTTTTAAATATGCTCGGTCAATTGTTGGGAAGGGTTTTGTTGCTGCAGTTCAACACTTTTTTGTCTCTCTGTTTGCTACCTTCTTTTAATGCTACGGTTGTGTTCTTGGCTCCAAAGGTTCCTAATCCTTGCTTTGCTAAAGATTTTTGACCCTTGTTTTTCCCTAGTTTATATAACTATTACTAGGATTATGGTGAGTAGGCTTACTCCTTACTTCCTTGATTTAATCGCTTTGAATCAAATTGCAATTGTTAAAGGGAGGAGTATTGTTGATAATACATTGCTGGCTGAGGAGCTTGTGAAAGGCTATGCTCAAAAACCGCTCTCCCGGAGGTGTGCTCTTAAAATTGACTTGCAAAAGGCATTTGACACCTTGGGTTGGATATTTATTTTGACTTTATTGGAGGCTATAAGGCTCCCTTCGAGGTTTAGGGGTGGATTGAGGCTTGCTTGATAACTTCAAGATTCTCTATTATAGTGAATGAAAGCCTAGTTGGTTTTTTAAGGGAGGTAGGGGCATTAGACAGGGAGACCCTTTGTCTCCTTACCTGTTTGTCATTGCGATGAATGTTCTCTCGAAGCTTTTGGATGTGGTGACCTCGCGGTTGTTTTAGTTTCACCCTAAATGTCAAAAAATTGGGTTACCTCATTTGAGCTTTGTTGATGACCTCATTTTCTGTAAGGGTACGTTGGACTCTGTTATGAGAGTGAAAAGTGTGTTGGGACAGTTTTATGTGTGGTTTGGTTTGAGACTCAATGCCTCCAAGAGCGAGTTGTTTGCTTTGGGGGTTAGTACGCTGCAGTTGGAAGAGATTCAACAGATTTCAGGATTCCAACTTGGCCATCTTCCTTTCAGATATATAGGAGTTCCTTTGGTGACTAGAAAGTTGACAGAGAAGGACTGTTTTTCTTTGGTTGAGTCGATGAGAGCTAGATTGGACCACTGGTGTAATTTGAATCTGAGCTATGTAGGATGTTTGCAGCTTATTCGTTTTGTGTTGTTTAGTTTAATGAATTACTGGGTGTAGACAACTTATTTTTCCTTAGTCTGTTATTAAGTCTGTTGAGCAGTTTTGTATTTGTTTTTTTTTTTTGGAAAGGGGCGGATTCTTCAGCTACTGTAGCGAAGGTTAGTTGGCTACAAATTTGTTTACCCAAGTCAGAGGGTGGACTTGGTTTGAGGGATTTGAGATCCCGGGACAAGGTTTGTTTGTTTACTCTTATTAAGAATATTTTGGCAGGTCAGGGGTACCTTTGGGTTGCTTGGATCCACTCCTATGTTTTGAAAGGTATCAGTTTTTGGCAGGCTGCTACCACGGTCATTTTAATTGGTGTGTGAGAAGGATTCTTAATGTTCGGGAGGAGGTGTATCTGCTTTTGGTGGCTGTGGCTGATTGGAGTGTTGTCTCGACTGCATGGATTTGGTCTGAAATGCGTGTTGCAGTGCTTTGGTTCCTTGGCATAGGCTTATCTGGTTCCCTCTTCATGTTCCTCGGCATGCTATTGTTACATGGCTTGTCATCTTGGGTGAGATTTCTACGAGGGATCGTTTGCTGCGCTCGGGTATGGTGGTAGATAATGGGTGTATTTTCTATGGTTTCCCTGAGTCTCATGATCATTTGTTTTTCTCGTGTTTTCTCCTAGAGGATCTGGGATGGGGTGTTGGGGTTGTGCAACATCCATCGACAGGTTGGGGATAAGAACTTTGAGTTGGGTTGGGCATGCTCGATGCTGAAGGATATATCATTGTTGTCTTACATATTGAGGATAGCCTGGAGTGCTTACTTGTATTTTGTTTGAGTAGAAAGGAACTGCAGGATTTCCTGAGGGTGTGATAGATTCGTTGAGGTGATTTTGAATCTAATTAAAGAGGTGGCCAGTGCTAAGTTTAGTAAGAAGAGCATTGATAGTCTTGATAATGTTAATGCTTAATTGTGTGCTAATTGGGGTATTTTAGCTTAATCTGTAGGTTGAGGCTGTCTTTTGATTGTAATCTGGTTGTGTTTTGTTGATTTATAACAGTTTTAACTGCTTCCTTTTGGGTAATAGAGCAAAAATTTATCCAAAAAATAAAACATACTCGATATAAAAGTATTTGTGGGATGAGGTGATAGGTCCTTAAGCAAGATCAGGGGTTCGAATTATGGAGTTTACGAATGGAGCAAATTAGGTTAGGAGGGTCGCTCTCGTCTCTGCAGTACCCGATATAAATTTGTCGATCAATATATCGAATATCAACGATTAATTCAAAAAAAAAAGTATTTATGGATGGAGTAGAATTTGAATCATATTTTTTTATGATATTAATTCATTATTTCTTGTTTAAGACCCGTCTGACCAATTTTTCTTCCAACTCTTTTACATTTTTAAATAACTAACACAAACCCATTTTAGACTCACCATAGTGCGTTTTGATTTATTTTTTTAAAATACTATATTTATTCTTTTATTAAAATTTAAAATATGGATAATTTGTAGTATTTATATATAAATATATTTATTCTTTGAATTCGTTAAAGGACTCCCGTGACAAAAGGATATGTTGTTCTCTCTAGAGATTTTAGGCTCGAACGACTACGTTTGTAAAATATATATGCGTTGTCAAGAGATTATATAAGTTCTGAATATATACTATCTTATAAGGCTTAATTGTAAAATAAATGCTCAAACTATATTGCTTTTCACGAATAGACGCTTAAACTATTTTATGAATTATTAATACGTCTAATGTTACAACGTTATCACTTTAAATGTCTGAAACTTAACAACCACCTTATTTTATAATTAAGCCACCTTATAATTAAGTCACTTTGTCATATATATTTGTTGTTTAATCTTTTATGGTACAAATCCCAAATTGCATGAGATCGAGTATTGAACCCAGTTAAAGATTTTCACGTTCACAAATATGGTATTTGATCAGTTTTCTATATGGAGATGCCCTTTTGGAACACGTAAAATAGAGAGAGGGTGAGAAGTTTCCATATCTTACGTTTCCTAATGAAACAATATGGGTCCTTTCTCCTCTATCTCTCTCTAACCCATATATACATTCATTTGTGGTATTGCATCCAGCTGTGTCCAGAAATGGATGTGAGAGGTGTCCGGTCTAAAATTTTATAATTTTATATTTTTAATTTTTTATATATATTCTTATATTCGTTTGTTTGACATAAATTCTTATGTGTGTCTCGTGTTTTGTTATGAATTGATGAATGAACAGATTCGAACCACACAGCCTGGTAGCTTTGCCTTGTCGGAGCTGGAAAGCAATTCCCTTGCTTGTGGTTGGAATTCAATCATCTTTCCTCATCAACACGATACACTACAAATGAAAATAAATGCTGCCCTTAGTGGAGAAGATGATGATGAAGAAGATGAAGTCATGGTTGGTTGTATTTCAAAATAATAACTAAGTGATTATTCCGACATGGCGAAGACTGAAAAATACAGCAGAACTAATACATTTCTCTCTCTCTATATATTCATATGTATGTAGTCGTCTTCTTTAAGTAGAGCCGCGGGTGTGTGTTTTGATTCAAACTGGACATTCGTCTGAGTCAGGCTCGGCTTTGTTACCGTCGGCTTCCTCCTCTGCGGCGGCGTTAGCTACGGGGTGAACTTCGGAGGCGTTTAATGCGCCGAGGACGATGACGCTTTTCATTTGTTCCGGAACCGGAGGCTTCTTCTCCTCCATGATTGCCTTCTCGCTGTGTCTGTAGATTGCGTATAGAATCATCTGGAGCATCCCCAGTATGAATCCTAGTACGTTAGGGAGCTGTCGATTTCAAAAAAATAAAAACAATTCATTAGTGTCGGTATCGATGTCGGAATCTCATATCGGAAAGGAAAAGGGAGATCGACTTACAGCTACGCAGAGGTCTTTAATGAATAGTCCGTAAGCAAACCACATGACTGCACTCAATGTGAGGAAAAACGATAAGGTGAAAGGCATGAAATCGACGCTCTTCGTTCGAACAACTCTGGCCATGATATTCAACGGTGCTGCAAACACCGATACGGATATCGCGACACAAATCCAGCCGAGAACCGGGACTCGAATCGAGCTTTTAAGCATGAAATGAGTGACAATGAGGACGAAAGAGAAGAGCACAACGTTCATTGCTACAAAGAGTTTCATAGCCGATCTTCTGCTATCCTTTGAAGCATAAGCTATGTACATAGATATGTAAATCGTCTCAACAACGCATCCGAATGAGTTGATGGTGATGAGGAGAAAAGCTCCCTTTTTGATCAACGCATAGCACAGCCACAGCATGCAACTGAACAATGCCACCTGGTACGGCAGCGACTGGAAACTTTCCGTTGATTTCTTCTTGAAAATCCGGTAGAATGTTGGCCTGCAATCATCAACAATGATTATGGTTCGACGTTCGAATAATTATATCAATTTCGAGACATGCTATCGGATACTTACACCGGAGCCATAAATACGAGGACGGAGATAATGTTACCTGTCATCGGTTCAAAAAAAAAACGAAAACTCTGTAAGAAAAGATGGTACTTTGCGTGTTTCATATGATTGGAGAGGTAGACGATAGATCATCGTTTAGGTGATGACATTTATTGTATGTATTTTTCCATTTAGTTAAACAACTACGTATAACTAAACATTGAGTTAATGCATTTCATTAGGTGAAAATTGGATCCATTTCTAAAATAGACACTTGTTTTTAAACCAAATATAGTGAAAGAAAATATAACATGTTGTGCATTCATTTTTCTTTGTAACTTAACCAATTCGTGACTAAAAATTAACTTCCTAGAGAGAGTGAAGAAAACAAAGGTGACGGGTTTCGTGGCGGATGCGGATGTAGTATCGTGACTGATTTTTTACGACGTCACTCGAAATAAAAGAAAATCCTGAAATCATTGTAGGTGAGTGACGAATACAAATATGTATTTAAGTCGAACACGAGCGTTGGACATGAATACTTGATGCATGTAAGCAAAGGAAGAGCAAAGTAGTGTTACCTAAGATACCAAAAACGACTGCCAAGGTATGGTGGTCACCCATTGATGCCATGATCTATCTTCTTCAACAAAGAAAAGGGTAAATTTATGTTTTTGGGAAAGAGAATTGCAGAGAGGGAAGGGGAAAGAAGAATCCTAGCTCTCTGTTTCTCTTTCTCTCTTATGGAATGCTCAAAGCTCTACAATCTCATGACCTCAAAGGAGAGCAAAGAGGGGGTTTTATACGAGAGAAAAGGTTGGGAAATGGGTGATAAATGGAATTGTGTGTGCGCATTTAACTCCTTTTGTTGCATGACAAGTGCATACGTTAGTAGTAGGTAGGCTCGCATGAAATCAATATCATTTTTTAACTCTTTCTTTCTTTTCTTTTTCTTTTTTACTTTTTACCAAATTATTTCAGTGCCTCTTTTTAGTCGCGTGTACAGCTTTCCAACCTAATTGGCATCCACATGATATTAATAAGGTTTAAACATTTTAATTTAATCACTAAACTTTCGATACGCTACTATTTTGGTCACTCATATATTCAATCATAAGTGAAAGAGTGACATGGTAGCCACATGTGCTGATGTGAACGGCTTTTTATTAATTACAATTTCATCTATCTATCACATTGGCACCACAATTACTATTCTTCAGCTTCTTTAATCACTCAAGGTATCGATGAACTCGTATTGTTATCTCATACCACTATATTGTTTAGATTTTACTTAAATTACTCTAAAACTCATAAAACTAAACATTAAGTTTTATACTCGTGAAACCTCAAACCACTCTAATCTATAATATCTACCATTTTATAAGTGTGAAATCAAGATATATAACTCGCTTCCTCCTTCTCCACCTCCCCACCGTTAGGATTTAGAAGAAGATGTTTCATCATCGAGAACTCAAATAGGATTTAATACTAGAAGTTTTCACGAAATGAAGAAAATTCTAGGGTCATTTCATGATTTTTAAAAGAAAAGTGCTCAATCATAACGTTGTTAAGTATTTAAAGGTAGAATGGTCAAAATAGGAGCAAATCAAAAGTTCAATCAGAAAATTAAAAAATTAAACTTCAACGACCAAAACATAATGAAAAGAAAATTGAAGAAACCTCTGCATTTTCACTCCAAGCATTAATGTTGTTAAGTTTTCCTGTTAAGCATCTAGTTTCATGAAACATCGCCGTTTTCATGTACTGCAAAAGCATCCCCCATTCTATGACCTACAATTAATCCCTCCCATGGTTTTAAATAACCTTCACAGTTACGTTTTCGGTCGCATCCCGTCTATCACGGTTACGGATATAACGGATGTTATTGTAGTCATTACGGATATCGTGATCGTGAATTTTTTTCGAAAGAGCTGATTTTTTTAATAAAAACCTGTTTTAAAAAAAATAAAATAACGGAAAAATAGCAGAATAGCGGTCCGCTATTGCCGTGATTGGCCACGATTCGTTAAATTACGGCCACGATCTGCCGCTATTGGTGTGATCCCGCTTCACACCGTTATTTTCCACGACAGCGGTTTCGGACACCACCACGACCGCGATATAACAGTCGCAATACTACTATTCGACCGCTATTTCAAACCCTAATCCCCATTAAAAAGAATTCTCCCAACACCTCAAGGAATTATTTAATGTATTTGGTTGCTAAATCATTTTTATTTCTCAACACGCTTTGATTCGCGTTTTTCAGTTAGTTTTCACAATTTTACAAGCAAAATTAAGTGATGATTTTTCGGTTATCATTTAATTTTTTTTAAGAAATTATAGATTTAAGTGAATTTAAATGTGTAACGTTTTCTTATACAAATATAAATAGTTAAAATTTAAAATAATAATAAAAAATCAAATTGAGAAGTGATGGAAACCAAATTTGAGATCATAATTTTTTATTTATCATTGAACTAAAATCGTATTAGTGGTTTATTATAGTATTTGAATTTTATTGCGTCATAAAAGATATAAAACATTAAAAAATACTATTTTTAGAAGGCATATGTACGTAATGATGAATATATGTTTTTTTTTTCTCAAATATTTTTTTAAAATAAAAAGCGGAAGACACGTGTTTTTCGCATGGAAGGGTTAAATTTTACAAATAAATAAATATGAGAAAGGGAATGAGGCCCACGCGCTATTAGAAAAGGGGCGCACGATATCAGCGAAAGTGAATTTTTTTGTAATTGCATGATAGCATAAACCGGCCAGTGAGATTTTTAAAATTTTAATATAATTTATTTTTAAGATTATTTCTTTATTTAAGGTGAATTGAATAATATTATTTTAAAATGTTCCATGCGTCTTCAAGTTAAATATAAAGACTTCACGATTGCACGTTATTTTTAGGCAAATGACGAAGACTCTACGATTACATGACGTCTTTAAACAAATGAAAAAGACTCCAGAAATATACAGCGTCTTCTTACCAATAAAAAATTTTAATTCAATAAATAATATTATATGAAAAAATATTTTTCTCAAAACCCTATATATGGGCGAGGAAGCTAGCATAAACCAGAATTTAATTTACGCTACAGATACACCGCAAAGGTGTCTTTCCAAAAGCCCCATTTCACGTGAAGCTACCAACACCCGTTTCTCTTTCGCTTCCTACGCTTTGTTTTTGCATGCCTTTATAATTAGGGTAAAAATTTAATCTTATATTTTAAATATTAATTTTTAATTAATAACTTATATTTGATTTATTGATCGACAAATCTAGATCGGGTAATGCAGAGACAATGACGACATTCCTAATTTAGTTTGCTCTATTCACAAACCCTAGGATTCAAACTCCTGAACTTACTTAAAGAATCTAGTGTGTCATTCCACTTACCAATCGATTGTCGGTTTATATTGCATGTCCAGCTCAGTTGGTAGAGCGCAAGGCTCTTAACCTTGTGGTCGTGGGATCGAGTCCCACGGTGGGCAATTAATAATTCGGATGTCTCCCACGGAAGCTGCTCTCAACCTGGTGTTGGGGGCAGTATACTATCCTATCTCCCTATACCCCATTACATATGGGAATAAGGGTAAGTTAATATTAATATCAGAATTTTATATAAAATGATATGAAGTTATCAACACTAAAATCTCGTTTGTGAGGAAAAAGAATTCATTGACATTTTATAAAATATTTTTTATTTGTAATTAATTTGATATTTATTCGTTTGTGAGGAAAAAGAATTCATTGACATTTTATAAAATATTTTTTATTTGTAATTAATTTGATATTTATTTAGAGGCATTATTTCATGTATTGACATTAAAAGAATTATTTTACAAATATAATTATTGTATCATGCATTGACATTAAAAATTATTTTGTAAGTACGTCATTTAAATATTCTTTAGTGTATTTGAATGATTTTAAACCTTAAAATTTAAATATTATACACTGAAATATTGAAACCTGTTTGTATGATATTGAACATAATAATATATTATCTATAATTTTTGTTATTTTCTAATAATTCTTTTATTCTTTAATAATAAATAAAACTATACACTACCGATACGTAAAATTATAGCGCACAAAATAGAACACGTTGTGACGCGTAAGCCCTAAAAATGCGAAAAATATCTCTTTATTGTTGTTTTAATTTGTGTTCATAGCGAAGGGTTTCGTGTGGCATAAGAGAATATTGACCCTTTTTTCTCCTTCAAGTCTCATTGCATTTATATATGAAAAAGGACAAACATGGTACACATGAGCTGCAAACAAATAATACTACTAATAATGTATTATTGTGGGGGGGGGGTCTAGTTATTCGTCATGGGATGCTAGGTGGACATACTGGGAGGATGCCAGATTCGTGGCTCAAAAAACGTACAAGGTCGGATCATGTGAACATCGCATGGTCCGACCAGTTTATATCAGTAATATGTGATTTTGATTTTGATCGAAATCTTATTTTTGTTGATCTTAGGTGTATAGAATTACACCTTGTATACGCATGATAGGTCTATCACATTCATCCACCATATCATTTGGCTCTAACTTCTCCGTACCCCACATTGCATTGCATATTCAATTGCTCTCCCAATGATTGATGGTTGATAGAAGGGATGAATTCACTGAATTAATTAATCATGGAAAACGGCTTGACTCTCTCTAGATCTCAATCAAAGTTTCATGGCCTTCTACTTTAATTTCACAACCAAATTGAAAACTGCCCCCTTTTTTCTCTTAAAATAAAATAGGAGGACTAAATCTTAAAATTTGAGCATAGTAGAGGGACTAAAATCAGGAATTAACTGCAAAGGGAAATGTAGAGAGTTCTAGTTTGATCATACATGAAATTGCAAAGGACGGGTAGAAATCAAAGGTGGGGTTCCCAAAGTCATATTTATCACGATCCAAGTAATTGCCTGATATCAGCTCAACAGAAAGGCCACGCCATTTGCATTATTTATTAGAAGTTTCGATTTGGAGATGAACATTGACACATGCCCCATATGATTGAACCAAAAAAGCCATGAACTATGAGTAATAGGGGGAGGCGATTGATATTATAATATAGGGTAAACAATATTTTTTTTTAAACTTTAGGTTTAATATTAATTTTACTATATTAGTATTAGATCATTAACCTATTAACATTAGGATGATATGATAGTTTGGTTTTAACATATAAGTAAAAATAATAATTTTATTCTACCCTAGGTTAACAATCGGTTAAAAACTGTCTTTCTCTAATGTCTTATGTGCTCACCTTAGACATCCGTATTATTGTCTTTTTCCATTATATCAATTTAGATTTTTCCAAAGTTTTTTTAAAATTCACAAAATTAAACATGAATATACCATTGGGGATTTAGAAGCTTTCTCATATGTAAGAGGCTTATGGCGTTTATTGAACAATGATAAACCTTGTTTCAAGTCGAATAATATATCTAAAAAATAATCTCATCCGTTAGTATGCCGAATTAACCACTCTTTGCATGAGCCCCTTGATCGATACGACGTGGTCTGAACCTGAGGCTGCCTGGCCTCGAATCACCGAGATCGAGCCAGTTCAGCTGGTATTATAAATAATTAGGGATTATGACAAGCAAGCATAATTATTGGTATTCGGTGGTGGGGGTAAACCCCACGATAAAAGACGATCGATTCTAGGAACCAGGTCTTAGCTTACATCAAGTCCTGGGGTCCCAATTTGGCCTTCCCCTCTCCTTTTTAAAATTTTCTTCTCACCTTTCCCTTTCTTTTTGGCTCTGCCTAATTTTAAATCCCCTATCTTCTTCACTAATTTGTTTTAAATGTGGCCTTCAATGGTCTCAATGTGATTCTACTGTTACTGGCCGCAAAAAGGAAAAAGCAATAAGAACAAATTATTACTATATTTAATTGACATGCGACAACATATAAATATTTATCTTTGAAACACGCGGCTTCGTTATGAAAGAAACCATGGTTGCTCTTTGTTCCTATATGTAATGGGGTAAGAGGAGGTAAGATAGTAGGCTATCCTCAACACCAGATTGAGAGCAGCTTCCGTAGAAGACCTCCGAATTATAAAATGTCCTTCGTGAGACTCAATCCCACAACCTCAAGGTTAAGAACCTTGTGCTCTACTAACTGAGCTGGATAATCATCTTTTCGTTATGAAAAAAAATCAAAGTAAACGCCTAAAGCATGAAACAAATGTGGTAAATGTAGCAAATATTTTTTGCTGTAACACTAACATTTGAGATCAGTCATGGGAATGAACCCTCACCTTAATAATTAATTAATTAAGATCCCTCGTATGGTTGAGGAAACATCTCGGTTAAAGTACATAAATGGTTCCGACTATAGGGTACAACTTTATTAAGTTCATCGACTATTAAAAATTATAAAATGATCATTTGACTATAAAATGTTACTTCGTTAAGTTCATTGACTATTAAAAGTTACAAAATAGTTACCCCAACTATTTATTATATTTCAAACTCGTCATTTTTCGTTAAAAAAATTAACAGTTGTCTAAGTGGACGTTAACATGATGACTGAGATATGATAATCATTTTAGATTATGAGAATATTGGACCCTTTCATTTTTAAAACAAAATTATGTCTTGGTCTCTATTTTTTTATTTAATTACTCTTTAAGTCCCTCAATTTTAGGATTAGTGAAATTAAACCACAACATCTTTAAAATTTATGGTTTATTCAATTTTAAAGACTCTTATCTATTAAAAGTTAGATAACCTATCTCTCTCATAGTTCAATCACGGTTCTGTCCTTGTGTCTAACCACATACAAATAATAATCAAAAGTTGACTAAAAATATTTATAGGTGTGTTCACCCTGAAAAATATTCAACTTTGTTATTGTTCTCGTACGCTTAATAATTCCGTATTTTTTTATTGATATCCTTTAAGAATATTGGAGTATGCAATTAAATGGGTTGAAATAAATAAAACACTCCAGCCAT